CGGCGCCCGTGCCCAGGAACTCCTTCTGCACCGACACTTGGAGCAGCAGAGGCTGCCGGGGCTGGCGCAGCTGCCGCCAGAAGTTCACGGCCTCAGTCACGTCGAAGGCCAGCCAGCCGCTCTCCTGGACGGACACTAGCCTGCGACAGAGAGCAGGTGAGCGAGCCCGCTCTCCCGAGGCCCGCGCGTGAAGCAGCCCTCGCCCCTCGTCCCCTCGCAATCCCCACCTGGAGTCGATGAGGGATGTACGATTGGAGCCATCATCGCGGACGCGCAGCCACTCGATGGTGACGCGGGCCCGGGCGCCGCGCAAGGACAGCCGCTCCAGACGGCGGAGCGCGGCCTTGGGCGCTGGCTCCTGGAATAGCCGCAGCACCGCCTGTACTAGTTCGTTGCCGGGCGGCAGCCGCTGCTCCAGGCCAAACACCAGCAGGTGCGTGGAGGCCTCGGATGCCAGGAACCTGCCAGCCACCTCTGGGGACACAAGTAGGGTCAGTCGTGCTGCTAGGGCACCAGGAAGTCCCAGGGATAGACCTTTACGTAAACCTTCCCCTGGGACACCTCATTCAGTTCCAGCCTCCACCCGCAGGAAGAGGTGGTTCTGGACCGTGGGCCTGGAGGATCCAGCTTATTCCTGGACAGGATGGCAGACCCAGGAGGAAAGAGGCTGCCCTGGGGTCATTATTCCTGGACAGGATGGCAGACCCAAGAGGAAAGAGGCTGCCCTGGGGTAATGCCAGGCACCCCCGGCTGCTGAGCAGCTCAGCTGTCACTGCCAACAGTCACTCCCCAGTGCTCACAGAAGTGAGACGCTGGGACAGAGGAGCAAACGGTTGAGAGTATTTTAAAAGCAATTGCTTCTGGTCAGGGTAGAAACAGACCCTAGGAAGTCCTGCCTGCACCCCAGTTGTCTGTGGGAACACATCCCTCTATGCCACCCAGTGGCAGTAATTCCACCCCTCTCCCCTTCTCTGGGACCTGGTCTTCCCTTCTCCAGTGGGTCCAGCCCCCACACCTCCTCCTGAGGCTGAGCTGTCCCTCAGTACACGATCATCCTCATAGGCCATGGTCCTTACAGCCCCTTGGATAATGGACTTACAAAGCAAAGCCCCTTTGACACAACCACAATGGGCAAACCCATCTTTCTCTCAGGAGCTGGGATCAAGGACTCACCTCGAAAGTTCTGACTGAACCTCTTCCCACGGGAACGGTCCCCATGGCTATGCTGCAGGAGAGCCACATACTCGGCTCTCACGTGGGCAGGGATGGACAGCCCCTCCACATCGGCCTTGCCCAGGACGGGTGCCTGGCGGAGCCCCAGTTGCCGCAGCAGGTTGTCCAGGACTTGATCCTCTGTCAGGGCTGTCCCAGGGCTGGCCAGGGGCAGCACCCAGAGTACCCAGCAGAGCCATAAAAGCTGCATGGTGCTGTCCACAAGGCACCAGAAGCTGTGGCTGTGGGGTTGTGGATCCAAAAGAATCTTGAGCCCCCTGGGTCTGCTGAGAAGCAGGGCTGGGTCAGCTTTATAGCTGGCCCTGAGGTGGGGAGAGAGGGCGGGAGGTCACACCCTCAGCCTCCTAGGAGCTCAGCAGCCAGACAAGCCCAGAGCTCTGAGGAGGGGGGGTTGTCTAGAAGGGATACAAAGAGCTGTCTGGATACCACACAAGCTAAGGGCTTCTGGCTGTGCTGCCTTGAAGGCTCAGCAGTGTTTTTAGTGCTTGTTGAATTTTCCTGGCTATGAAAAGGGGAGACTATTCTGTGAAAAAAAGACCAGCTGTTTAAATGTCTTTTTGGAGGCCAGTCTGAGTCTAGGTCTATTCATCAAGAAGCAAGGAGGAAGCTGGGTCTGGTGTTACATGCCTGTGATCCCAGCACTCTGGGAGGCAGAGAAAGGACAATTGAAAGTTTGAGCCCAGCTAGGTTTCAAAAAACAAAAGGGCTGGGATGTAGCTCAGTGAGAAGGCCCTGGGTTCAACCTCCAGTACACCAATTAATCAATAATCAATCAATAAATGAAGGGAAGGAAAAGTTGAGTGTGGTGGCACACGGCTGTAACCCCAGCACTCCGGAGGCTGCAGTAGGAGGATCGAGATTGATTCCAATCTGGAATACATAGTGAGGTCCTGTCTCAAAAAAGTAAAGAAATAAATAAGTAATAGCTTGGAATTTGGCTCAGTGGTTCCACCTGCCTCAAAAGCACAAAGCCTAGAGTTCAATCCCCAGTAGCAAAAAAAAAAAAAAAAAAAAAAAAAAAAAAAAAAAAAAACAGGGGGAATTTTTTTTAAAAAAAAAAAAAAAAAAAAAAAAAAGTAATAACAAATAGCCAGTGGCACACACCTGTAATCCCAGCACTCTGAAGCTGAAGCAGGAGGGTGGCTGCGAGTTTGAGGTCAGCTTGGGCTCCTAGTAAGTTCAAGGCCAGCCTGAACTATACAGGGAGACCCTGACTAAAGGAGGGGAAAATATTCTGCATTCCTGCTGGCTCTGCCTACATTCATAGACTTCCTTAGTTGGAAGTCTCCCTGTGCCCCTCGGTCTGCAGCCACCTCCGGTTTCCCCTGAGGGATCCTCAAATTCTTTGACAGTTCCTCCCTTCCTCCATGACAGAGGAGCTTAGACACTGTCAGGACAGAAATCTGGCAGCTGGACACTTTTTTGGCAATCCCAGGAAAAGCAATTTCTGTGGGTGTATTTGCAATTACATGACCACAGAGTAAGCCCCCTGCAGACAGCAGGTTCTTTGTGGGGAGGGGTCCCCAGTGAGCTGGTTCTCACCAGCAGTGCACGGCTCAAGCTTCAGCCATTCCCAGACACATGAAGACAGGAACCTGGAAAGTGAAGACTACTTCTGCCCAGAGGCATGTTGTATCCAGACAGCTGAGTTCTGATATGCTGCTTGTAAGACCTGCTCTCAACTTGTTCAACTTTTCATGATCAGGTTTCCTCATCTGAAGCAGGAAATGGTTATGACAGTCCACCTTAGAGGTTAGGTATGAAGATTAGGTAAGTGAATACGTGCAGGGATTTTAGGTCCATGCCTGGTTCCTCAAAAATATCCTAGAGGGGTTTGGAATTGCTAATATCTGCCTACAGTCCACATTTTCAGGGTTATGCCTTTTATAAAAATGTCAATAACAAAAAAAGTTACTTTTTGATTTTTATTTTGTGGCACTGAGGAACAAACCCAGGACGTCTCCCATGCCAGGTAAGTGCTTTCCCACTAAGCTGCACCCCAGCCCAGGAAATGAGTTGAATCCATCACTGTTCTGAGCTCAGAACACAGATTCAACAGTCCTCAGGAGGCAGGTGTCCTCTGCTTCTGGCACTTCTTCCAATGCAGTCAGAACCTCGGGGTGAAATGACTTGCTGCCTTTACCTGGTTGTGGAGGGCTTGGGATGTAAATGCAGGCATGGACATCTGTCTCTGGAGGCCCCTTTCTGCTCAGGGAATCTGAGGGTGACAGGAGACCCTTCCTGAACCCCAGCCTTGACCTGTGTTCTGCCACACGGGGTTGAGCAGTAATGGAGGATGAGAAAGACCATACACTGAGGGCCGAGAGGCCTGGTGGGAAGGGAGTGACCCCTCCCCTGTGGGTAGACACCCTGGTGTCTTGGGGGATACAGTGTTATTCACAGTCCTCTTGCCTCACACATCCAACAGAAGAGAGAACTTCCTGGCTCTCAAAGACAGAAAACTTCTCGACGAGGGCCTAGGACTCACACACAGATTGCCATTGTACATATACACATGCAGTAGCACCTCAGTTTGTGAATTTAATTCTTTCCACAATTCTGGTCACAAACCAAATTGGCTGAGAACCAAATCAGATTTCCCCATAAGGTTCAATATCACCTGATGCAGTCTGTGAACAGAAGCAAACTTTTACCAACTGCTTCTGTTCTCAAACCGCATCGTTCACAAAAAGAAGTATTCGTTAACTAAAGCATCACTGTATTGGCATGTACACAAAGTACAGGGATGATCAAAAATACAGTGAATGTAAAACTGATTCTAGTATTATTGATGTAGGACGGTACTGTATCATACCTCTATGAATGTAAAATATCTTGTACCAGCTTTATGATACATAGTAGGGACCATGCTTTATCAGAGATACATTTAATGATATTACTCTAGAATGCTCTCTTTCCAGATGATGATGAAGATGTTAATAAAAAAATGGTGCCAGGTACCACAACAACAACAGAACTTTGCTGTTTTCTGGATATTATTCTTTTCTTTGTTTTATTTTGTTTTGTTTTATTTAATGAAATGTGCTGAATGTCTATAATTTTGTTCAGATGACTGCAGAACCTGGAAAAGCTGTTGCTGCTATCGATGCATAACATGCTGCTATTATTAGTCTTTTTATATAAATATATATATATATATACACACATATGTATAAATTGAATTTTGGGAAACTTTAACGGTGCTGCCAACTTTGAAAAAATCATCCCAATTTACTGTGTTGAGTTGGCATTGTATAGCAATGGACAGCCATACTGGTCTAGAAATGTTAATCTTTTTAATTTTTAATTTTTATTTTTTTCCATGTGTACAGGGGTAACACATCGTACTAAATATGCAAGGTCACATCTATGTGGGTTGATTACAGAAACTAATAAAGTATTCTCTAAATAATGAAAAAAAGAAAAGATAAGACTATAAGAGCAAGAAGCAATTTAAATATGTTCAGGGACCATTTTCATCTCCAGAATTAAGGATTATTTTAATGTTACATCATTGCCTTTTCTCTTTTACTTTCCTTTGTAGTTTTATTTTAGGATTCCCTATTTTTAATGTTCATACAGAGATTTCTTTAACTGAAATACCGAATAGTTTCTTTGGTGTGAAAAACTATAATAGTACACAGGATCCTAATGAGATAATTAATAATGTGAAATAGGAAGTAAAGGGCTAAAGGTGTAAGGAAAGTGGGAAGGGTGGGGGAAAGGTAATAAGGGAGAGGAAAAAAATATCAGAAACCGAAAAAATGGAAATAAAGTGTTTGTAAATGGGGAGGGGAGGAGGGGGTGAAGGGAGGGCAGGGACAAGGGGAAAAACTGAGAATCAAGACCTATTATGTAAAAGTACAGAATCCCAATGATGAATGTAACTGTGTTGTCTACCTAGATTGTACCAATAAACTCAGAAAAAAGAAAAAACAATACAGTGAATGTTTACATTTCTAAAACCTTCTCACAGTGAATGACACATTGCCAAGGACAATGGGGTAAGTGTGTTCATAGTAGAGAAAAGGACACTGATAACTCGGTTGTCAGGTTACTCCAAGCTTGAATTTTCCACTACTTGAACAGCAAGGTTCAAAACAAATCAGTTTGGTGTTCATCACTTGCTCCAAAGTCAAACCCAAAAGTGATTAAGAAAATCTGTATGATGAGCCGGGGATTTAGCTCAGTTGTTCCACCACCTGCATTGCAAGCGCAAGGCCCCAAGTTTGATCCTCAGTACCAAAAACAAACAAACAAGAAAACCTGTATGAGCTGGGTGAGTTACACTTCAAATATCGACTGTAGACACAAAGGGGCAACACTTCAGTTTAAGGACAGCTCTCACCCATACAACATATATTGCTTATATAATGCTTAGTGCATTAAAAAAATACATCATTGCACTATTTTTTTTGTGTACACTTTGTGTAAAATACCACAACCTTGGCTCCAAAGAAAGTTAATGTTACCAGCAGTAAAGCTAAGAAGAAAACTGTGAGAACCACAATAATGTTAAAGAAATCACTGTGAAATCTGTTAAAGTTCTGCAAAAATTAGTTTTTAAGTGTAATTTTGGGGTCTCGGAACCAATTATTTGGTTTTCCATTATTTTCTTTATTAAATTAAAAAAAATTTTTTTTGAGACAGGGTCTTACTCTGTAGTCCAGGCTGGCCTTGAACTCTTGGTGATCCTCCTGCCTTAGCTTCCTGAGTGCTGCGATTATAGGCATGCACCACCATGCCCACCTTGGTTTTCTACTATTTCTTAAGGGGAAAATATATAAAATACATTCAGTTCTCAAGTTTTGGGGTTTGAATATGAATCTGGAACAAACTGAGTTCAACAACCAAGGCATCACTGTATTTTGATGGGGTAACAGCAATGTGTCTTTTTTTTTTTTTGGTACCAGGGATCGAACATAGGCCCTCACTCTTGCGAGGGAGGCACCAGAACCACTAAGCTAAATTCCTGGCTGGCAATGTCTTTTATTGAAACAAAACAAAAAAAAATTTTTTTTTTGTACCAGGAATTGAACTTAGGTTCTTGTGCTTGTGAGGCAGGCAGTGGAATCACTGAGCCAAATCCCTAGCCCTGTTACAAAATTTTTAATTTAGATATCCACTGTGCTCATTGAGGGGTTACACACTAGAAGGGTTTTAATAGGAAATACTGGTGGACTTAAAAGA